CTCTCAATTGCAAACAAGTATAAAAGAGATTTTCTCTCAACAATTTTCTCTCATGTACAATTAATGTGGATTAAGTGCATAGTGTAATACACTTGGAAAGATAAAATATCACCAATTGAATATAACATTAAGTTGTAAATATAATTCCCAAGCGATTGACCACTATTCTGGACAGAGTAATGTGGAAAATTGATCCATTGGAGCACCAAAGTGCGAGGAGGACCTACATTTGTTCTACTACTTTTTTCCTTCAATTTCTTTCTTAGTAGATAATTCACTATTAATTAGTAAATGATCTACTTGTATTCAATGAATTTTACTTAAATGTATGGTACGTAATTTGCCAAAAAAAATTTAAAAAGCAAACCGAGTGGAGGGGATCTCACTCTAGTGCGGAGGTTATTTCCATCATTGATAATGGACTTGATCAACCTGCTACCTAACAAAGGGTGAGTTTAAGTTGACTTTTTTAAAGTTTTTTTTAGTACTTATGACTTTCCACAAGCATTTTAAAAAAATAAAGTAATATTTGGATCAACTTATTTTAATTATTTTTAAATAAGTAAAAAGCAGTTTTATCATTTAAATAAGTAAAAGTTCAAAAAAAAAAAATAACTTTTACTTCTTTAAAATCATTTTTCTACAAAACACTTTCCCCACCAACACCACTCACACCCACCATCGTTGTTATACACCATTGATTGCCACCAACCACCACCACAACCTTTTTCATAAAATACTTTTTATTTTAGTGTTTTTTTATTTGAGCATACAAACGGTGTTTATTTAATAAAAGTATTTTTGAGAAATACTTATTTAAGAAATACTTTTTAAATTTTATAAGTCATTTCAAACACAACCAAATACGTTCTTCTTCACCATTAGCTTCGTCATAATGATGTAGAACAATATAAGTAATTTTTATATTTTATTTTATTTTATTTTATTGTGCTGTTAGAATTAGGACTTAATTAGTACTATTCTAGAATATTTAGTTTCCTAAAATATGTCAATTTTATTAATTTATTAGATATGTGTTTATTTGTTTTTGGTAACTTTCCTAAAACTAGTGATTTGTTTTCGTTTTGTAATCTTAGGCTTTTGAATTTTCCTATAAATTGTTATATGTACTACGATTCTAAGCAGCCTATTGAATAATATACTTTTTTAGAGATATTTTCTTGTTACTTTCTCAATGGATTCAGAATACCTTTGTTCTATACACCTATAATCGTAATGTTTTTCGTGTTCCTTTGTTCCGTTGCGTCAATTGGTATTAAAGCCTTGCCTAACTTGGTGTGATGGCTAATCAACACAATGGTAACAATTTTCTGAATGACGGTGATCATATGGAAAAGGCGAAAGCCAAATTCTTGGAGTCCCAATGACAACAACAGCAGTAGTTACAACAATCTTGCAAAAGCTACGGTTTGCAGTTGCCCAGTTGATGTTGGGTCTAAACTAGAATCTCAATCAACATAAGATGTTGAACGACGATAGGAATCATGTTCTACCTTTTCGAGATTATAATCTTATTTATCTTGTGAGACAGTGTATTCATGGTACAACTACTCGAGTATCACCTATTGCATAATATAACAAAGTTGAAAATATGGTACATATCAATGTACATACATAAAACAGAGAGGGAATCTGCAACAACAAAAAAAAAAAAAAACAAAGCCAATTAAGGATCCTAGAAAAAAAATTCACCAAAAATCAAAAACAAACATCAATGACTTATTAAATTCACTAAGACAACCAAAAACAAAAACATGATTAGACCATTTAGCGAACTCTAAAATCAAAAATCAAATTCACCAAAACAATCGAAAACATTTATCTGCTCTCTCATAGATTCACTCATTCAATGCCATGCTTCGCAACTTAGGCGAGATTCACTAATTCGAAACCCGCAACCAAACGTGCATAATGGTAATAGGAAGTGATTTTCCAGATTGGAGATTCTAAAACTATTTGAGGAATTTTGTCGAACTTGTGGTTGTCATGGTTAGTAGCTGATGGCTCTATGTTATGTGGGTGTGTGTGTGTGTGTTTTCTATGTGTTCTATGTGATTTCTTTGTGTGTGTATTTTTTTTTTTTTTTGTCTGTTGTATGTGTATGTATGCATTTGTGTGTGTGTGGGGGGGGGGGGAAATAGAGAGGAGGAAGAAAGGATAGGAAAGGGATGAAAAGTACATGGAGGCGGTGGCAGTGATGTGTGTGATAGAGAGAGGCATATGAGAGTGAATGATAGATAGAGACATGAAGAAACCCAGAACACACACGCACAGAGAAACACAAATGCAAACACCACACACAAAAAACATGATTGAGATAGAGGGAACACCGTGATTGAGGCAGTGACTGATGTTGGCAGAGACAGAGAGGATGGAGAGAGAGAGAGAGGTATGTGAGAAAAGAAAGAGAGAGCTGACTGATAGATACGTGTGAGCTACATGAGTATCAGATAATATAAGATACAAGAGAGAAAGAGAGAGGTATGGGAGAAATAAGTGAGAGAGGTATGTGAGAGACGAAAGAGAGAGCTGACTAATAGATACGTGAGAGCTACATGAGTATCAGAAAATATGACATACAAGAGAGAGAGAGAGAGAGTTATAAGAGAGGTAAGAGTCTTAGAGTTGTGAAAAAAAGTGAAAATCTTGTTCAAAAAATTGGGGGAGGGAGGGAGGAAAGGGGAAATTTCACATTAGAACCGTCAGATCAATAATCTCCTCAAATAATCTGAGCCACGAAAAGGTCAAGACAAATAATATATCTACTTTATTATATAGATATACCTTTTTTAGAGATATTTTCTTGCTACTTTCTTTGTAGACTCAAAGTACTTCTGTTCTATACAATAGAATCATAATATTCTTCGTGTTCCTTTATTACATTGCATCACATAACTCATACAAAAACAGTAATATTATACTGATCAAATTTTGGGACTAAATTTGAAGTCCAAATGACATGGCAGCTGATTGGTACTATGTCATTTGGGTCCCAATAAAGAATTCAAATAATATGTTGCCGTGTCATTTGGACTACAAATTTGGTTTCAAAATTTAGTCAGCGTAACATTACTGATACAAAAATTTGAAAAAAAAGCAAGTAAGAAAATTATAACGGAGGTATTTCCGGCTTTTATCTAGGAATAATGTATGGTTATGACTTGGGTTTTGATGGCCGAGAGGGAGGGGGGGTACACTTGGGGATTCTGCTTGGCTTGGAGGACGATGGTTAATTAGATGATTTTATAATATTCTTCCGTTTCCAAATTTCTTGTAAAGAATCTTTTATTGTTGATATCCTAAAATTTATATTGTATCGTTGTTGTGTCGAAAATCCCTTGAATTTGAGATTGATGTTTTATTATATGGGTTATGTGAAAATATTTACATGGGTTAATTGCTTTGGGAGTTATCAACACATGCATTACCTGTATTCAGAAACATGGATATGTATGTTTTTTTTTCAAAAGAAACAATAAACACACACACAGGACCACTACAACACCGCTACTTGAAAGTGTTAGTGTCATAGGACATGGATATGTATGTTAGTGAAATGTTATTGTGGGCTTGCGTGGCATGTGTTAGAATAGTATGTATACCCAGTAGTGTACATACTATCAAGATGTGTTACAACGTTAAAGTCAATGTCAAAGTCAAAGTCAAAGTTTTCTACCATATAGGTTGCATTTGATAAGCCCTTGCAGGCCCCGCTAGCCCATAGAGTCTTTAGGGTTTTCCTTGACGCAAGGTTGGGATCGCTACTAATAAGACAAAAATACACTAACTTAGTGCAGTCACACCAAAAGATATGTACGATGGAGGCTAATTAAAGATTATATTACGAAGCATTTAGAATTAGTCTTGAATTGAAGGAATCAAGAAGTAAGGAAATGAAATGACATTTTCGTAAATTATATCCACCCNATGTATGTTAGTGAAATGTTATTGTGGGCTTGCGTGGCATGTGTTAGAATAGTATGTATACCCAGTAGTGTACATCCTATCAAGATGTGTTACAACGTCAAAGTCAAAGTCAAAGTCAAAGTTTTCTACCATATTGGTTGCATTTGATAAGCCCTTGCAGGCCCCGCTAGCCCATAGAGTCTTTAGGGTTTTCCTTGACGCAAGGTTGGGATCGCTACTAATAAGACAAAAATACACTAACTTAGTGCAGTCACACCAAAAGATATGTACGATGGAGGCTAATTAAAGATTATATTACGAAGCATTTAGAATTAGTCTTGAATTGAAGGAATCAAGAAGTAAGGAAATGAAATGACATTTTCGTAAATTATATCCACCCTCTAGTGTTTTCTCTACGAATTCAATCTTCATATCATAGAGTGTTAACTTCTTCCATACCCCAGCCAAGAGTTGCTCACTTCCTAAAGCCAAAACTCTTGCAAATATGTAATTGATCTTGGGATTTAGCTCTTCCAATCTATTGAGCAGCGCTTACACCTACTAAAACAAGAGGTCTTATTCAATTCTTTATCATTTTCTTTACTTATTAGAAGCCTATTATGCTAAATTTTGTGAAGTTAATTAGACTCGTCTTATATAGACTTAAACTTTTAGCTGGACGTAAGTCCCTAACGCGTATAATCTTGTGTACCTGACTTTTGGATAGAAGACTCGTTCAAATAAGAAAATTATCAAAACAAATTTCATACCTTGAAGAACCAAATCATAGTAAAACAATGTTATAAAAGGATACAACCATTTTTTGTTAAGTATTTTGTGTGGCTTTTGGTTGGAAGTCTCCATTATTTCAATTTCAATTTCATGACAATGGTCCATCGCTCTGAAACTAGGTTGTGGTAGATATGGCCAACAACAAACTAAAAGTCTGTTTTCAAACTGGGACCATATCAAGCATTTTACTATATAACTCATGCATATTTTCTCGTTCTAGTTGCTCTGTAGTTTAACATCCTAGTCCAGAGATAACACTCCACGCAATAAAAGGAAGATCATCAAACAACTACCAGTGGGGAAACCACTATAGGACTCCTCACTGTGTGCTTCCCATTAACTTCAGCCCAAACAATAGAACCAAATGTAACCGTTCCATTCTTGCCACCTGAATAATGGGTAGTCACAGAGTATCTCTGCTTTTCATACTTTTGTCCGAACACCATTTTGTCCGGCGATACCATGACTACAGTCCCCTTTGGTGCCGCCACCTCCACCTTATATGTCGTTGCACCATCCCCTACATTTGTGACAGTCTGAAATTTCTGAATCAATATGTCGTTCCCCATTGTTTTGTTAGAGAACAAAGCGATGAATGATGGATAATTCAGATCAGCAGACGGGTTTGAGCAAGGATAACTGTTTGATCTGGTTATGGTTAAGATTTGATTCTGAGTGAAATTCATGGAGCAGAGGAGATTAACGTAGTCTTGTGGAGTAGCATCATATATCAAACCTGGATCAGGTGCGCAGTTTGGATCAACTTGTCCCGCTCCCATGGCTAGAGGTGTAGCAATTTCGAAATTTTGACAATTGTCCTTGATAAGATTCTGTGTATTATCGAATGGATTTGCTGTGATCATCATTGCAGAACGAATAGCTGCAGGACTCCATTCTGGGTGTGCACCTTTTAGAAGTGCGGCAATCCCAGAAGCATGAGGACAAGCCATGGATGTACCTGAGACAACATTGAAATCATTAACCAAGTATATGTTTAAACCAATTTTTGCTGAATAACCATCTGCATGCCAAGCGGCTATGATGTTTGTTCCTGGGGCCATTATATCCGGCTTCAGGATGCCTGGATAGCTTGGTGAAGGACCTCTAGACGTGTAGGAAGCAACAACCGGTGCAGGTTTTGTACCCACAAAGGTCAGCTGGAACTTAATGTGTGCCGTAGGTTGAACACCACTAGTTAAAGCGTAATCGATCACCTCTTATGCATCCTTCGAGTTAATTACAACTCCAGGAAAAGGGAAGAACTTGTACTCAGATANCTAAATTTTGTGAAACTAATTAGACTCGTCTTATATAGACTTAAACTTTTAGCTGGACGTAAGTTCCTAAAGCGTATAATCTTGTGTACCTGACTTTTGGATGGAAGACTCGTTCAAATAAGAAAATTATCAAAACAAATTTCATACCAAGAAGAACCAAATCATAGTAAAACAATGTTACAAAAGGATACAACCATTTTTTGTTAAGTATTTTGTGTGGCTTTTGGTTGGAAGTCTCCATTATTTCAATTTCAATTTCATGACAATGGTCCATCGCTCTGAAACTAGGTTGTGGTAGATATGGCCAACAACAAACTAAAAGTCTGTTTTCAAACTGGGACCATATCAAGCATTTTACTATATAACTCATGCATATTTTCTCGTTCTAGTTGCTCTGTAGTTTAACATCCTAGTCCAGAGATAACACTCCACGCAATAAAAGGAAGATCATCAAACAACTACCAGTGGGGAAACCACTATAGGACTCCTCACTGTGTGCTTCCCATTAACTTCAGCCCAAACAATAGAACCAAATGTAACCGTTCCATTCTTGCCACCTGAATAATGGGTAGTCACAGAGTATCTCTGCTTTTCATACTTTTGTCCAAACACCATTTTGTCCGGCGATACCATGACTACAGTCCCCTTTGGTGCCGCCACCTCCACCTTATATGTCGTTGCACCATCCCCTACATTTGTGACAGTCTGAAATTTCTGAATCAATATGTCGTTCCCCATTGTTTTGTTAGAGAACAAAGCGATGAATGATGGATAATTCAGATCAGCAGACGGGTTTGAGCAAGGATAACTGTTTGATCTGGTTATGGTTAAGATTTGATTCTGAGTGAAATTCATGGAGCAGAGGAGATTAACGTAGTCTTGTGGAGTAGCATCATATATCAAACCTGGATCAGGTGCGCAGTTTGGATCAACTTGTCCCGCTCCCATGGCTAGAGGTGTAGCAATTTCGAAATTTTGACAATTGTCCTTGATAAGATTCTGTGTATTATCGAATGGATTTGCTGTGATCATCATTGCAGAACGAATAGCTGCAGGACTCCATTCTGGGTGTGCACCTTTTAGAAGTGCGGCAATCCCAGAAGCATGAGGACAAGCCATGGATGTACCTGAGACAACATTGAAATCATTAACCAAGTATATGTTTAAACCAATTTTTGCTGAATAACCATCTGCATGCCAAGCGGCTATGATGTTTGTTCCTGGGGCCATTATATCCGGCTTCAGGATGCCTGGATAGCTTGGTGAAGGACCTCTAGACGTGTAGGAAGCAACAACCGGTGCAGGTTTTGTACCCACAAAGGTCAGCTGGAACTTAATGTGTGCCGTAGGTTGAACACCACTAGTTAAAGCGTAATCGATCACCTCTTATGCATCCTTCGAGTTAATTACAACTCCAGGAAAAGGGAAGAACTTGTACTCAGATTTCAGGGTCATCAGAGATGAAGATACCCACAACAAATCCGATTTAACAATAGTGGCTATTTGTTTACGGAATGGCCAAGTGTTATCACACATGATGATTCCGCTTGGGTATGGGTCTGTAGGTAACAACTGAGTTGAATTACAAACAGATATGGTTTTGTTGTAAATGAGCCTCTCATTTGCCACACCGGCTCTTGCAGGGAACATGCTCCACGCAGAGATGGTTAACTTCCCCAAAGTCAATGTTCCAACAAACCAACAGTCTATTGAGCCAGCTGCAACTGTCAAGACCAATGGAATCCCAATGTGTAAACTTCCAAGACGTGGACCATCATTTCCTGCTGAACAAGAAACCAGCTCACCCTTCTCCATGGCACAAAATGAAGCCATCGCAATAGGATCCTCATATAAAGGAATATCATCAAAACCCATAGAAATCGATATTACATCGACACCATCAGCAACACCCTGGTCCATACCAGCAAGAAAGTCAGAAGCGTTTTCCCCTTCCTTCCACAAGACCTTATACATGGCTACTCTGGCATGCAGGGCAACCGCAGCTCTGGCTGTCCGCGAAGCATAGCCAAAGTATGTGACACCTTCAACATAATTTCCAGCAGCTGTGGTTGAAGTGTGCCTGCTGTGACCAAATGTATCCCTTGCAGAATTCATAGTCAGGGTGATGTTAGGTTAAAGTATCAAGCTCCAATGAGCTTTAAGTTACACAACGAAGAATTGAACTCTTGTCCGACCTTGAAAGTTCCCTTAACTTCTGTCATTCCATCGTCTCGGAAACTTGGACTTTCTGGCCAGACACCGGTGTCAATAACACCCACGATAACATCTTTTCCATAGTCTGATGCCGGCCATAGTCCTGTGGCAGTATTCAGGGAGAGAAATTCAGTGGTGTGAGTAGTGTCAATAGTGACATGCCTATCTCTATAAGCTGACAAAAATCCAGGGGACTTCTTTACAGACTCTAGCTCATCTTGAGATACCATAGCACTAAAACCATGAAATGCATTGTCATAAGTGTAGACAATCCCTGGTTTGGAATTAAGGCCATCTGATTATGTAGGAACCACAGGTTTTATGGAATCAACGATGGAGGAGTACCAGTAGTCGGGGCTAGCTAAAGCCTTGGGCATAAAAGTTTTGTCCATGTGGACTATGTAAGTCGATCTCTCAGCTGAAATGGATCCAACATGCAGAGCCGAAAGAAACCATGCAAACAATAAGAGAAGAGGAACCCCCTCAACCAGCCCCATTCTTGTTTACAGAACTTTTGCAATGACACCATCTGCGGCCTACTAGTCGGCTATATATACATGCATGTGTGTGTGTGTGTGTGCACGCAATTATCAGCATCTGATAAGACAAGAAAGGTGACCAGAGTTCAACAAATTACGGAAAATCGCCGGCCAGGGGATGGCGGCTGTTTTGTTTAGACCTTTGGTTCCCAGCAGTTGGCTGTAACGAAGGAACCTATGTCACCCATGCCACAAGTTCTTGGCTTCTCTCACTGCTTTTGATTTGGAAGACAATTACAAAGGAACCAAAAAAATAACAGCAGTTTGTTTGTACCTTCTCAATATATTCCAAGTGGCTTCATTATAGAACACTAAGTTCATGTGAAAGAAGGGCCACTTCACATCAACAAATTTTATACTGTAGCAAGGAACACAAGTCATTCCAGGGCACCTGCCTCGCAAAGTAAGGAATAAGCAATTTCACAAGAAGACCAAAACAATTCCTAGTAAGTTTATTGCAACCAAGCCAATTATAAATGTGTCAATCGAAAGTTTGTGCGTCCAATAGTCTGAGAAGCCTTGCAAAAATGTCAGGTGAGGACGTTGGTGAGTTGCCTATTGTGTCTACCCATCCAACATCATTTCGCTAGACAAAGTCATTGTCATAGTTTTATTTTTTTTTTGTAGTGTTATGTTTGAACTATTGTAATATATTTTAAAGTCGTGAGTGATAATGGAAAACAGATTATATCACACGCAATTGGGTAGATTATCGACAAACTTAATCTCCTAAATAACAATTGTTAAGTTAAAAATTACCTTCTCATCGGACTGAATTGCACCATTGAATCCATCAAGTGGAAGCAATCGAGTCGGGGTGTAATATTTGGGATAATGTCCTCCTGAGTCTATGTCTTATTTAGATTGTGTATTGTTCTTGCCATATTATGGTTGCCATGCGAAACTCCTGAATTCATTCTCTCTCAAAGAAATTCACTTCACATGTCTCCCGGAAATTAAGAATTTACTAGATACTCATCTAGTAAAACTATATCCCACTATATTGCATAATGCGAAAAAATTAAAAAAAAAATGGATATTTTTTTATTAAAACACCAATTAAACAAGATTGTCATGTCAAAATTAGGTTATTTGCATTTGACACAAAACTAACTCTTTTCTTATTCGTGTTGTTTTATTTTGAAGTCGTGTGAAAGGTCACCTTTTACCCTTTATTGTCCATTTAATCATCACCCTCTTAAATTTCCATTATAAAGACACCTCTTGATTCCTTGGGGGCTCTAATCCTGGCTGGCTTCCTACTATTTCCATGGGGTATTTCATATTTTCTTTGTTTTCAAGTCTCCACCAATTGGTATAAAGTCTTCAGACCAACCAAAATCATAAAACCATTTTTTAACCAGAAAAATAATTAGACAACAAAACAAACAAAAGCCCACTCTAGCAGTCATGGTTTAGAGAATAGTCAATATATTCATGCCGTTTCACAACAACAACAGAAATCAAGTCATTCTTAGACTTATTTTCCTATAAGCTTATTCTTTATTGCCCCTATTATTTTGTAAGCAACCATATCAAACTCCTCATTTTCCTCCCACATGGTTACATTTAACATCAATCCAGTCAATGAGCTTCAGACCCTCCACCAAAACAATTATGTTTTTCAGCACCTACAACGGCATCATTTCAGAGCAACCAAAAAAGTATATTAATAAACTATTTTGCACTGTATCAGCATTCTAATAAGCTCACAACTTATATATTGATACCACTTGATAACCCTAATCCAAGTAGTTTACCCTTAAGATGCGCTCCCCTCCGCTCCGTTTAGATTTAGTGCATGAGTCATGCATTATCTCTAACAAGGAATCGACGAATATCTTCTCTCTTTTCTTTCCCGGAAAAGCTCACTGAAACATTGTAGAGCATCAAAAACCTTCCCGGGGATTTACCCAAAAATAAGATCTTCGCAAGGAAAGAATTTCATAGGGGCTGCATATCATTCAATAAAAGTTTCGGGCCTTTGCAATTGCTCATTTTCAAAAGGGCGATGCCTTTAACTTGTCTCACACTCCCACACAAACAGCCTGAACCTTATACATGATACCATTGTGGTGATTTTGCAGATACCCATTAAGCCTGTGGAATACAACTGATAATGCTCTGTGGATTCAGACTTTCATAAAAATGGGTCCCAACCGATGCAACAAACCCCAAGTTTAAGTATTCGGCTCAAAAAATAACTGCGAAATGGCGAAATGCTAGACAAATTGATTTGACTCATAAAGGGAGGTGTTTAGGATTAACTAAATTAACCCACCTACCATGCTGTCAAATACATTATACATTCTGACCAAAAAAATAAAAATACATTATACATGACCTAAAAACAAATTTAGAACAGCCTTATCTTAAATTGTTTTCAGACCCTTTTTTACTTTTTGTTCTCAAGCATGAATACCAAGAAAATAAAGAAATAAACAAGACCACTGCACAGAAAAATCCACATAGAAATTGAGCATGATTAAGTTAAAATATAGGACAAACGTCTTTTGATCTCCATGTGGTATACTCCAAACACACTTTAACTCCTTCATATTTAAAAATGTACACATAACCCTCACTTGTTTGTGGGACCAAATTGCAAAGTTACATTTTTCATCCAAATTAACTAATTGTGTGAGCCATGCATTACAAGTGAAAGTTGGTGTGAAAATAAATTTCAAAATGACAAAACTACCCTCACCTCCACCCCCAATCTTCTCATCCCTCTCTTCCCCGATGTTGTAACCATCTCGCCACCACCCAAACCATTGTCTTTCTCTTCATATATCTGTTCCCATTTGAATCATCGTTGATTCGTCAACTTCACCCAGCCATATTGATGGTGGTATAGTCATATCTATATAATATTACAGTTAGAAGGNGTGGCTATTTGTTTACGGAATGGCCAAGTGTTATCACACATGATGATTCCGCTTGGGTATGGGTCTGTAGGTAACAACTGAGTTGAATTACAAACAGATATGGTTTTGTTGTAAATGAGCCTCTCATTTGCCACACCGGCTCTTGCAGGGAACATGCTCCACGCAGAGATGGTTAACTTCCCCAAAGTCAATGTTCCAACAAACCAACAGTCTATTGAGCCAGCTGCAACTGTCAAGACCAATGGAATCCCAATGTGTAAACTTCCAAGACGTGGACCATCATTTCCTGCTGAACAAGAAACCAGCTCACCCTTCTCCATGGCACAAAATGAAGCCATCGCAATAGGATCCTCATATAAAGGAATATCATCAAAACCCATAGAAATCGATATTACATCGACACCATCAGCAACAGCCTGGTCCATACCAGCAAGAAAGTCAGAAGCGTTTTCCCCTTCCTTCCACAAGACCTTATACATGGCTACTCTGGCATGCAGGGCAACCGCAGCTCTGGCTGTCCGCGAAGCATAGCCAAAGTATGTGACACCTTCAACATAATTTCCAGCAGCTGTGGTTGAAGTGTGCCTGCTGTGACCAAATGTATCCCTTGCAGAATTCATAGTCAGGGTGATGTTAGGTTAAAGTATCAAGCTCCAATGAGCTTTAAGTTACACAACGAAGAATTGAACTCTTGTCCGACCTTGAAAGTTCCCTTAACTTCTGTCATTCCATCGTCTCGGAAACTTGGACTTTCTGGCCAGACACCGGTGTCAATAACACCCACGATAACATCTTTTCCATAGTCTGATGCCGGCCATAGTCCTGTGGCAGTATTCAGGGAGAGAAATTCAGTGGTGTGAGTAGTGTCAATAGTGACATGCCTATCTCTATAAGCTGACAAAAATCCAGGGGACTTCTTTACAGACTCTAGCTCATCTTGAGATACCATAGCACTAAAACCATGAAATGCATTGTCATAAGTGTAGACAATCCCTGGTTTGGAATTAAGGCCATCTGATTATGTAGGAACCACAGGTTTTATGGAATCAACGATGGAGGAGTACCAGTAGTCGGGGCTAGCTAAAGCCTTGGGCATAAAAGTTTTGTCCATGTGGACTATGTAAGTCGATCTCTCAGCTGAAATGGATCCAACATGCAGAGCCGAAAGAAACCATGCAAACAATAAGAGAAGAGGAACCCCCTCAACCAGCCCCATTCTTGTTTACAGAACTTTTGCAATGACACCATCTGCGGCCTACTAGTCGGCTATATATACATGCATGTGTGTGTGTGTGTGTGCACGCAATTATCAGCATCTGATAAGACAAGAAAGGTGACCAGAGTTCAACAAATTACGGAAAATCGCCGGCCAGGGGATGGCGGCTGTTTTGTTTAGACCTTTGGTTCCCAGCAGTTGGCTGTAACGAAGGAACCTATGTCACCCATGCCACAAGTTCTTGGCTTCTCTCACTGCTTTTGATTTGGAAGACAATTACAAAGGAACCAAAAAAATAACAGCAGTTTGTTTGTACCTTCTCAATATATTCCAAGTGGCTTCATTATAGAACACTAAGTTCATGTGAAAGAAGGGCCACTTCACATCAACAAATTTTATACTGTAGCAAGGAACACAAGTCATTCCAGGGCACCTGCCTCGCAAAGTAAGGAATAAGCAATTTCACAAGAAGACCAAAACAATTCCTAGTAAGTTTATTGCAACCAAGCCAATTATAAATGTGTCAATCGAAAGTTTGTGCGTCCAATAGTCTGAGAAGCCTTGCAAAAATGTCAGGTGAGGACGTTGGTGAGTTGCCTATTGTGTCTACCCATCCAACATCATTTCGCTAGACAAAGTCATTGTCATAGTTTTATTTTTTTTTTTTAGTGTTATGTTTGAACTATTGTAATATATTTTAAAGTCATGAGTGATAATGGAAAACAGATTATATCACACGCAATTGGGTAGATTATCGACAAACTTAATCTCCTAAATAACAATTGTTAAGTTAAAAATTACCTTCTCATCGGACTGAATTGCACCATTGAATCCATCAAGTGGAAGCAATCGAGTCGGGGTGTAATATTTGGGATAATGTCCTCGGGTCTATGTCTTATTTAGATTGTGTATTGTTCTTGCCATATTATGGTTGCCATGCGAAACTCCTGAATTCATTCTCTCTCAAAGANCTGAGTCTATGTCTTATTTAGATTGTGTATTGTTCTTGCCATATTATGGTTGCCATGCGAAACTCCTGAATTCATTCTCTCTCAAAGAAATTCACTTCACATGTCTCCCGGAAATTAAGAATTTACTAGATACTCATCTAGTAAAACTATATCCCACTATATTGCATAATGCGAAAAAATTAAAAAAAAAATGGATATTTTTTTATTAAAACACCAATTAAACAAGATTGTCATGTCAAAATTAGGTTATTTGCATTTGACACAAAACTAACTCTTTTCTTATTCGTGTTGTTTTATTTTGAAGTCGTGTGAAAGGTCACCTTTTACCCTTTATTGTCCATTTAATCATCACCCTCTTAAATTTCCATTATAAAGACACCTCTTGATTCCTTGGGGGCTCTAATCCTGGCTGGCTTCCTACTATTTCCATGGGGTATTTCATATTTTCTTTGTTTTCAAGTCTCCACCAATTGGTATAAAGTCTTCAGACCAACCAAAATCATAAAACCATTTTTTAACCAGAAAAATAATTAGACAACAAAACAAACAAAAGCCCACTCTAGCAGTCATGGTTTAGAGAATAGTCAATATATTCATGCCGTTTCACAACAACAACAGAAATCAAGTCATTCTTAGACTTATTTTCCTATAAGCTTATTCTTTATTGCCCCTATTATTTTGTAAGCAACCATATCAAACTCCTCATTTTCCTCCCACATGGCTACATTTAACATCAATCCAGTCAATGAGCTTCAGACCCTCCACCAAAACAATTATGTTTTTCAGCACCTACAACGGCATCATTTCAGAGCAACCAAAAAAGTATATTAATAAACTATTTTGCACTGTATCAGCATTCTAATAAGCTCACAACTTATATATTGATACCACTTGATAACCCTAATCCAAGTAGTTTACCCTTAAGATGCGCTCCCCTCCGCTCCGTTTAGATTTAGTGCATGAGTCATGCATTATCTCTAACAAGGAATCGACGAATATCTTCTCTCTTTTCTTTCCCGGAAAAGCTCACTGAAACATTGTAGAGCATCAAAAACCTTCCCGGGGATTTACCCAAAAATAAGATCTTCGCAAGGAAAGAATTTCATAGGGGCTGCATATCATTCAATAAAAGTTTCGGGCCTTTGCAATTGCTCATTTTCAAAAGGGCGATGCCTTTAACTTGTCTCACACTCCCACACAAACAGCCTGAACCTTATACATGATACCATTGTGGTGATTTTGCAGATACCCATTAAGCCTGTGGAATACAACTGATAATGCTCTGTGGATTCAGACTTTCATAAAAATGGGTCCCAACCGATGCAACAAACCCCAAGTTTAAGTATTCGGCTCAAAAAATAACTGCGAAATGGCGAAATGCTAGACAAATTGATTTGACTCATAAAGGGAGGTGTTTAGGATTAACTAAATTAACCCACCTACCATGCTGTCAAATACATTATACATTCTGACCAAAAAAATAAAAATACATTATACATGACCTAAAAACAAATTTAGAACAGCCTTATCTTAAATTGTTTTCAGACCCTTTTTTACTTTTTGTTCTCAAGCATGAATACCAAGAAAATAAAGAAATAAACAAGACCACTGCACAGAAAAATCCACATAGAAATTGAGCATGATTAAGTTAAAATATAGGACAAACGTCTTTTGATCTCCATGTGGTATACTCCAAACACACTTTAACTCCTTCATATTTAAAAATGTACACATAACCCTCACTTGTTTGTGGGACCAAATTGCAAAGTTACATTTTTCATCCAAATTAACTAATTGTGTGAGCCATGCATTACAAGTGAAAGTTGGTGTGAAAATAAATTTCAAAATGACAAAACTACCCTCACCTCCACCCCCAATCTTCTCATCCCTCTCTTCCCCGATGTTGTAACCATCTCGCCACCACCCAAACCATTGTCTTTCTCTTCATATATCTGTTCCCATTTGAATCATCGTTGATTCGTCAACTTCACCCAGCCATATTGATGGTGGTATAGTCATATCTATATAATATTACAGTTAGAAGGTTGAATTCTTAACTTAAAAAAATACAACGGTCAAGATTGATTCAACCTTTATTTATTTTGATTTAATGGTACAAAATTCATTCTAAAAATTCTTTTCCCACTCAAAAATATTATTTTCATTACATAACCCTCAATACTCGACAATTCCATCAGTTCATACATATACCTCCCTTCTCTGTCTCCTAACCCTTTCTTATTTTGTTTTTGTTCATTTAATTTTAAATTTTGTGGTTAAAGAGAAAAAAGGAAAAATAAATTTTAAATATTGTACAATAAATATTCGATTTTTAGTATTGCAAAGTGTCGTCAGGATTATTACTAGTATAAAAATATGGAACAAAACCTAGAACATAGTGAAGAGAAAGAGAATCATTAAAAATTGAAAATTTCCCATATGGGTGGCAATTGGCAAGAATGGCAGTAGGAGACGAAGAAGCTTTTGAATCATAGATGTTTTGTTTTGATTTTGTTGTTTGATTTCTGATTGGTTTTTGTTGTCAACTTCAGGATTGAATTTAGTTTTTGCCAGAGAAGAACAGGATGGTCCGTTCTTGGAGAGCGAAGGAGAAGAGTATTTGGATCATTCTATTAGTTAGCATTGCGATTTAGTCCCAAAAACATGCGAGGGTTATATAAACATTTTTAAATCTCAAGGAAGTAAAGTACATTTGGAGTATACCGTATGGAGCTAAAATGAAGTTTGCTTTAAAATATACGACCAAATAAAGATCTTTCAAACAGAAAATTTCCTTGGCTGTAGCCTGGTCTGTCCACAAACAAGTAGGCAAGGGACCTGGAACCCTTAGGAGCTATCTGAATGGCATAATTTTGCACCAGCACTGTTCATGATCTCCTTAGAGGCTAATTTTTTGTATGCTTATCATACATGAAGTTCCACTCATGACAATGTGAAGATTGATAGAATAACATGTACGTTCAAATTATTGGAAATATCAACATGGAAAGTGATGCCAACAAGACGGATAGAATAGTAAGAACTGAAACATCTCAGATTAACCACATATGATAAACAACTAATTTGTAGCTAAACAGAAGCCGGATGGATTGAAACTCTACACTCACCTGTACTTGTAGTTGAAGTTGCTTCAGATGTTTAATGGCTTCATCCAGCATTGATGCCTTATCCATCTATTAGTCCCCCAAAAAAAAAAACACAAATTCACTCAAAAAAGTAGCTAAAAATCAAACCACAAACTAAATGGATGCGTAGTTAAATTTACAAATAATATAAAATAATTACTTTGTTGGAATTCGGAATTAGTTTCTGCAATGCTTTCATTTTCTCATTGATCCGATTCCTCCTCCTCTGTCTGCCACATTTAAAGCCATCCTTTTCAGACAAACAATGGACCTCAGCTGCTCTACTCCTCTTGGAGGAACGNAAACAAACAAAAGCCCACTCTAGCAGTCATGGTTTAGAGAATAGTCAATATATTCATGCCGTTTCACAACAACAACAGAAATCAAGTCATTCTTAGACTTATTTTCCTATAAGCTTATTCTTTATTGCCNGAACAAACAAAAGCCCACTCTAGCAGTCATGGTTTAGAGAATAGTCAATATATTCATGCCGTTTCACAACAACAGAAATCAAGTCATTCTTAGACTTATTTTCCTATAAGCTTATTCTTTATTGCCCCTATTATTTTGTAAGCAACCATATCAAACTCCTCATTTTCCTCCCACATGGTTACATTTAACATCAATCCAGTCAATGAGCTTCAGACCCTCCACCAAAACAATTATGTTTTTCAGCACCTACAACGGCATCATTTCAGAGCAACCAAAAAAGTATATTAATAAACNCTACATTTAACATCAATCCAGTCAATGAGCTTCAGACCCTCCACCAAAACAATTATGCTTTTCAGCACCTACAACGGCATCATTTCAGAGCAACCAAAAAAGTATATTAATAAACTATTTTGCACTGTATCAGCATTCTAATAAGCTCACAACTTATATATTGATACCACTTGATAACCCTAATCCAAGTAGTTTACCCTTAAGATGCGCTCCCCTCCGCTCCGTTTAGATTTAGTGCATGAGTCATGCATTATCTCTAACAAGGAATCGACGAATATCTTCTCTCTTTTCTTTCCCGGAAAAGCTCACTGAAACATTGTAGANATTGCCCCTATTATTTTGTAAGCAACCATATCAAACTCCTCATTTTCCTCCCACATGGTTACATTTAACATCAATCCAGTCAATGAGCTTCAGACCCTCCACCAAAACAATTATGTTTTTCAGCACCTACAACGGCATCATTTCAGAGCAACCAAAAAAGTATATTAATAAACTATTTTGCACTGTATCAGCATTCTAATAAGCTCACAACTTATATATTGATACCACTTGATAACCCTAATCCAAGTAGTTTACCCTTAAGATGCGCTCCCCTCCGCTCCGTTTAGATTTAGTGCATGAGTCATGCATTATCTCTAACAAGGAATCGACGAATATCTTCTCTCTTTTCTTTCCCGGAAAAGCTCACTGAAACATTGTAGAGCATCAAAAACCTTCCCGGGGATTTACCCAAAAATAAGATCTTCGCAAGGAAAGAATTTCATAGGGGCTGCATATCATTCAATAAAAGTTTCGGGCCTTTGCAATTGCTCATTTTCAAAAGGGCGATGCCTTTAACTTGTCTCACACTCCCACACAAACAGCCTGAACCTTATACATGATACCATTGTGGTGATTTTGCAGATACCCATTAAGCCTGTGGAATACAACTGATAATGCTCTGTGGATTCAGACTTTCATAAAAATGGGTCCCAACCGATGCAACAAACCCCAAGTTTAAGTATTCGGCTCAAAAAATAACTGCGAAATGGCAAAATGCTAGACAAATTGATTTGACTCATAAAGGGAGGTGTTTAGGATTAACTAAATTAACCCACCTACCATGCTGTCAAATACATTATACATTCTGACCAAAAAAATAAAAATACATTATACATGACCTAAAAACAAATTTAGAACAGCCTTATCTTAAATTGTTTTCAGACCCTTTTTTACTTTTTGTTCTCAAGCATGAATACCAAGAAAATAAAGAAATAAACAAGACCACTGCACAGAAAAATCCACATAGAAATTGAGCATGATTAAGTTAAAATATAGGACAAACGTCTTTTGATCTCCATGTGGTATACTCCAAACACACTTTAACTCCTTCATATTTAAAAATGTACACATAACCCTCACTTGTTTGTGGGACCAAATTGCAAAGTTACATTTTTCATCCAAATTAACTAATTGTGTGAGCCATGCATTACAAGTGAAAGTTGGTGTGAAAATAAATTTCAAAATGACAAAACTACCCTCACCTCCACCCCCAATCTTCTCATCCCTCTCTTCCCCGATGTTGTAACCATCTCGCCACCACCCAAACCATTGTCTTTCTCTTCATATATCTGTTCCCATTTGAATCATCGTTGATTCGTCAACTTCACCCAGCCATATTGATGGTGGTATAGTCATATCTATATAATATTACAGTTAGAAGGTTGAATTCTTAACTTAAAAAAATACAACGGTCAAGATTGATTCAACCTTTATTTATTTTGATTTAATGGTACAAAATTCATTCTAAAAATTCTTTTCCCACTCAAAAATATTATTTTCATTACATAACCCTCAATACTCGACAATTCCATCAGTTCATACATATACCTCCCTTCTCTGTCTCCTAACCCTTTCTTATTTTGTTTTTGTTCATTTAATTTTAAATTTTGTGGTTAAAGAGAAAAAAGGAAAAATAAATTTTAAATATTGTACAATAAATATTCGATTTTTAGTATTGCAAAGTGTCGTCAGGATTATTACTAGTATAAAAATATGGAACAAAACCTAGAACATAGTGAAGAGAAAGAGAATCATTAAAAATTGAAAATTTCCCATATGGGTGGCAACTGGCAAGAATGGCAGTAGGAGACGAACAAGCTTTTGAATCATAGATGTTTTGTTTTGATTTTGTTGTTTGATTTCTGATTGGTTTTTGTTGTCAACTTCAGGATTGAATTTAGTTTTTGCCAGAGAAGAACAGGATGGTCCGTTCTTGGAGAGCGAAGGAGAAGAGTATTTGGATCATTCTATTAGTTAGCATTGCGATTTAGTCCCAAAAACATGCGAGGGTTATATAAACATTTTTAAATCTCAAGGAAGTAAAGTACATTTGGAGTATACCGTATGGAGCTAAAATGAAGTTTGCTTTAAAATATACGACCAAATAAAGATCTTTCAAACAGAAAATTTCCTTGGCTGTAGCCTGGTCTGTCCACAAACAAGTAGGCAAGGGACCTGGAACCCTTAGGAGCTATCTGAATGGCATAATTTTGCACCAGCACTGTTCATGATCTCCTTAGAGGCTAATTTTTTGTATGCTTATCATACATGAAGTTCCACTCATGACAATGTGAAGATTGATAGAATAACATGTACGTTCAAATTATTGGAAATATCAACATGGAAAGTGATGCCAACAAGACGGATAGAATAGTAAGAACTGAAACATCTCAGATTAACCACATATGATAAACAACTAATTTGTAGCTAAACAGAAGCCGGATGGATTGAAACTCTACACTCACCTGTACTTGTAGTTGAAGTTGCTTCAGATGTTTAATGGCTTCATCCAGCATTGATGCCTTATCCATCTATTAGTCCCCCAAAAAAAAACACAAATTCACTCAAAAAAGTAGCTAAAAATCAAACCACAAACTAAATGGATGCGTAGTTAAATTTACAAATAATATAAAATAATTACTTTGTTGGAATTCGGAATTAGTTTCTGCAATGCTTTCATTTTCTCATTGATCCGATTCCTCCTCCTCTGTCTGCCACATTTAAAGCCATCCTTTTCAGACAAACAATGGACCTCAGCTGCTCTACTCCTCTTGGAGGAACGCAGCGTAACAGGATTCATTGCCACCTCTTACGCTTCAAGTCTCTCCTATCCAAATCAAACACCAAAGCTAAAAAAATCAAAACTAAAAATCTCACCAAAACAAGTACTGATTATACTGAATATAAAACTTGCCCTGGAGTCATCACTGCTCTTCATCGACGTGATCGCATCAGAATCGATACTGCTAATGGTAGAAAAACTTTTTCTACTACTCTCTTTCACCTCAATCGAAAAGTAGTCACCGGAATCGGAGAAATTAAAACTCGAGGACGATTCAATTACCGCGGCGGCTGAAGTCTCCGCCGCCTTATCCGGAGGCAGTGGAGAAGCTTTAACAGAGATTACAGAGCTTTTAATTTAATCAAAGTAATCGCACTCCCGCCTTAATTGTGTTGTGGGTTTATTTCGTAAAAGATCCTAAAGTTTTTGTATATTCGTTTAATCTCCCTTATCTTCTTATTATTTATGATACTCCCCAATCAATTAAAGAGAAATTTAACCTGACACCCTCAAGTGAAAACTAGAACAATGATAAAAAATGATTACAAAAATAAATTGTCCAAGGAGTTTGGATTATCTTATACGCATTTCGACTAATGTCTTCTCCTGTCCAACCAAAGATAAATTATTTACATCAAAACTAGAATATTCATGAGAAAAAGTAATATTTTTTGTTTATCAATCAAATAGTCCTATGACCACCGGTGGGGGCCAATTTTTTTTTTTATCATGTACAATCGTACCCTACCTCTATACGAGATTTACATCATCTNGGTTGAATTCTTAACTTAAAAAAATACAACGGTCAAGATTGATTCAACCTTTATTTATTTTGATTTAATGGTACAAAATTCATTCTAAAAATTCTTTTCCCACTCAAAAATATTATTTTCATTACATAACCCTCAATACTCGACAATTCCATCAGTTCATACATATACCTCCCTTCTCTGTCTCCTAACCCTTTCTTATTTTGTTTTTGTTCATTTAATTTTAAATTTTGTGGTTAAAGAGAAAAAAGGAAAAATAAATTTTAAATATTGTACAATAAATATTCGATTTTTAGTATTGCAAAGTGTCGTCAGGATTATTACTAGTATAAAAATATGGAACAAAACCTAGAACATAGTGAAGAGAAAGAGAATCATTAAAAATTGAAAATTTCCCATATGGGTGGCAACTGGCAAGAATGGCAGTAGGAGACGAACAAGCTTTTGAATCATAGATGTTTTGTTTTGATTTTGTTGTTTGATTTCTGATTGGTTTTTGTTGTCAACTTCAGGATTGAATTTAGTTTTTGCCAGAGAAGAACAGGATGGTCCGTTCTTGGAGAGCGAAGGAGAAGAGTATTTGGATCATTCTATTAGTTAGCATTGCGATTTAGTCCCAAAAACATGCGAGGGTTATATAAACATTTTTAAATCTCAAGGAAGTAAAGTACATTTGGAGTATACCGTATGGAGCTAAAATGAAGTTTGCTTTAAAATATACGACCAAATAAAGATCTTTCAAACAGAAAATTTCCTTGGCTGTAGCCTGGTCTGTCCACAAACAAGTAGGCAAGGGACCTGGAACCCTTAGGAGCTATCTGAATGGCATAATTTTGCACCAGCACTGTTCATGATCTCCTTAGAGGCTAATTTTTTGTATGCTTATCATACATGAAGTTCCACTCATGACAATGTGAAGATTGATAGAATAACATGTACATTCAAATTATTGAAAATATCAACATGGAAAATGATGCCAACAAGACGGATAGAATAGTAAGAACTGAAACATCTCAGATTAACCACATGATAAACAACTAATTTGTAGCTAAACAGAAGCCGGATGGACTGAAACCATACACTCACCTGTACTTGTAGTTGAAGTTGCTTCAGATGTTTAATGGCTTCATCCAGCATTGATGCCTTATCCATCTATTAGTCCCCCAAAAAAAAACACAAATTCACTCAAAAAAGTAGCTAAAAATCAAACCACAAACTAAATGGATGCGTAGTTAAATTTACAAATAATATAAAATAATTACTTTGTTGGAATTCGGAATTAGTTTCTGCAATGCTTTCATTTTCTCATTGATCCGATTCCTCCTCCTCTGTCTGCCACATTTAAAGCCATCCTTTTCAGACAAACAATGGACCTCAGCTGCTCTACTCCTCTTGGAGGAACGCAGCGTAACAGGATTCATTGCCACCTCTTACGCTTCAAGTCCCTCCTATCCAAATCAAACACCAAAGCTAAAAAAATCAAAACTAAAAATCTCACCAAAACAAGTACTGATTATACTGAATATAAAACTTGCCCTGGAGTCATCACTGCTCTTCATCGACGTGATCGCATCAGAATCGATACTGCCAATGGTAGAAAAACTTTTTCTACTACTCTCTTTCACCTCAATCGAAAAGTAGTCACCGGAATCGGAGAAATTAAAACTCGAGGACGATTCAATTACCGCGGCGGCTGAAGTCTCCGCCGCCTTATCCGGAGGCAGTGGAGAAGCTTTAACAGAGATTACAGAGCTTTTAATTTAATCAAAGTAATCGCACTCCCGCCTTAATTGTGTTGTGGGTTTATTTCGTAAAAGATCCTAAAGTTTTTGTATATTCGTTTAATCTCCCTTATCTTCTTATTATTTATGATACTCCCCAATCAATTAAAGAGAAATTTAACCTGACACCCTCAAGTGAAAACTAGAACAATGATAAAAAATGATTACAAAAATAAATTGTCCAAGGAGTTTGGATTATCTTATGCGCATTTCGACTAATTTCTTCTCCTGTCCAACCAAAGACAAATTATTTACATCAAAACTAGAATATTCATGAGAAAAAATAATATTTTTTGTTTATCAATCAAATAGTCCTATGACCACCGGTGGGGGCCAATTTTTTTTTTTTATCATGTACAATCGTACCCTACCTCTATACGAGATTTACATCATCTCTATTATATTGTCATTGAATTTTTACCATTAATTCACATAGGATTCACCATTTACTTGTCAATCTCTCGTCCATATACAATAGATGACCTCTCATTGAGTAAAATTAATGACTAATCTCTTCTCCCATTAATTCATATTCTTTGTTATCACGTTGTAGCAAATAGATAAGGCTTCACTGCAACATTTCCATTAAAAAGCCTAAATCCAAGGAGGACAACTGCTTGAAAGTTTGTTCAAGGCTAGTAATTCTATGTACGATTTGTGAACTCGACACAAAATTGACCCAAGTTAATCAGATTTGATTTCACCTTAAGGGTTTCGAGTGATGCAGTGATATATCCATCATATCCATCAAGTTAATGAATTGACATGAATTCAGCCAAGCACAATTTACAAACAAAACAAATTTGGATATGAGTAAAATAAATTTTAACAAAATACAAATTTCATAGTTTAAAAACACAAAATGACATGACTCATTGGCAGCCCTAGTTTTGTTTAAGGATACCGAACTAAACTGAGCCTACGCAGATAAGCCACACATCATATGCAAACAATTTTTTTTTTTTTTTTTTGAATCGGTAAAAAGGGAGAGAGGCGACCTATTGGTCGTAACCCCATACGCATGACCATAATGGTCCCCTCGACATGGAATGTCTGAGAGTCCATCACCATAACACTACCAAAATCAAGTAACAATCCGCATTACTCTTGTAAATTTAACCCTAGTTAATAACCACAGAAAAGTCAAAAGCGACCCTAAATAGGTACTGATGATGCATAAATCGGTGCTGCGTAAAATCAACAATCGAGTATATGAACAGGTATAATTAATAAACAATAAACAGGCAATCAATGATAAAACAATAAATAATAATTCAACATCAAGATATATAGTGGTTCGGTCCGAATGATCTACTCCACTCTCAAAAATGACAGCAGTGGCCGAAGATCTTTATTGATAAATAAAAGCCACTAGGAGAGTATTCTCCAGAAGAATTACAATGCTTTGAGAGAAGAGTCATGCGTGTAGAGAGGTGTAAAGGTTTTTAGGTGGTGTCATTTACGTGGAAAGGGCTTACATTAAATAGACTGTGGTAAGGTAGTAACGTTAGAGAAAGGATTTCTACTATTTTGGTAAGAATAAATAAGGTAAGATTATATCTCCAAACGTTTCCCAATATTCTCTCTCTCGTATTCGGCCCCTTAGGCGACGCCCTTGTCCTTGTTAGGCGTTGATTTCTTGATTCCCTCTTGTGTTTGGTGGGTTAAGCTCTTTTTTGGATACTAATTATTTGGGCCTTCTTTGTTTATTTTCATCGGGCCTGGTCCAATTAATTTTGGGTTCGTCAATTATGACTTACCACTGGACCATTAGCTCGAGTGGTTCGTCATTTGAAATCCAATCGGATGAAAACAAGCCTAAACGTCTGAATCACATTTCAGTATGTTATATGATACACAAATTTGAACGAGCCAAATCCAAACTCACTTGGTTTGTTTTCCAACCCTCCACATATCCCATAACAAGTATGGGATTTCTACTAGGAGGTATCCAAGTTGCAAAACTTATTCAACACCAAAAGGGCAACTAAAATCCACAAGCAATTGCAATCCCATAACCACTTCCGAACATAAATGGGCACTAAAATCAAATCATACCAATGAATAAGTTGAATGGCAAGCAATGGCCCATGAGGTAGAAATTGAGAGTACAAAACAAGGAAATAAAAAAACAAGGCAGTAAGCCAGGGAAAAAAACATTTATCCACCTTCCATGAAGTCGTAACAATGGGGCTAGAGGGGTGGGTGGGGATTTTNACACAAAATGACATGACTCATTGGCAGCCCTAGTTTTGTTTAAGGATACCGAACTAAACTGAGCCTACGCAGATAAGCCACACATCATATGCAAACAATTTTTTTTTTTTTTGAATCGGTAAAAAGGGAGAGAGGCGACCTATTGGTCGTAACCCCATACGCATGACCATAATGGTCCCCTCGACATGGAATGTCTGAGAGTCCATCACCATAACACCACCAAAATCAAGTAACAATCCGCATTACTCTTGTAAATTTAACCCTAGTTAATAACCACAGAAAAATCAAAAGCGACCCTAAATAGGTATTGATGATGTATAAATCGATGTTGCGTAAAATCAACAGTCGAGTATATGAACAAGTATAATTAATAAACAATAAACAGACAATCAATGATAAAATAATAAATAATAAGTCAACATCAAGATATATAGTGGTTCGGTCCGAATGATCTACTCTACTCTAAAAAATAACAGCAGTGGCCGAAGATCTTTATTGATGAATAAAAGCCACTAGGAGAGTATTCTCCAGAAGAATTACAATGTTTTGAGAGAAGAGTCATGCATGTAGAGAGGTGTAAAGGTTTTTAGGTGATGTCATTTACGTGGAGAGGACTTACATTAAATAGGCTTTGGTAAGGTAGTAACGTTAGAGAAAGGACTTCTACTATTTTGGTAAGAATAAATAAGGTAAGATTATATCTCCAAACGTATCCCAATATTCTCTCTCTCGTACTAGGCCCCTTGGGCGACGCCCTTGTCCTTGTTAGGCGTTGATTTCTTGATTCCCTCTTGTGTTTGGTGGGTTAAGCTCTTTTTTGGATACTAATTATTTGGGCCTTCTTTGTTTATTTTCATCAGGCCTAGTACAGTTAATTTCGGGTTCATCAATTATGACTTACCACTGGACCACTAGCTCGAGTGGTTCGTCAATTGAAATCCAATCGGATGAAAACAAGCCTAAACGTTTGAATCACATTTCAGTATGTTATATGATACACAAATTTGAACGAACCAAATCCAAACTCACTTGGTTTGTTTTCCAACCCTCCACATATCCCATAACAAGTATGGGATTTCTACTAGGAGGTATCCAAGTTGCAAAACTTATTCAACACCAAAAGGGCAACTAAAATCCACAAGCAATTGCAATCCCATAACCACTTCCGAACATAAATGGGCACTAAAATCAAATCATACCAATGAATAAGTTGAATGGCAAGCAATGGCCCATGAGGTAGAAATTGAGAGTACAAAACAAGGAAATAAAAAAACAAGGCAGTAAGCCAGGGAAAAAAAC